AAAGTGTTGTATGTCAAGATCCTCCACCGATGAACATCTACGCCCTCCAGTGGTTACGATCCTGAATTATTTTCATCCTTGTAACCAATTTCCTCAAAAGTCGCCTCCCGTTTCCTTCTGGATCTTGCAGTAAGCTGATTTACAAGTGAATTCTGTGTGTATTATCTTACCATCTTAGCCGCAGGCCTCCTAGATGTCACTACCCTAAGAATACCAGACGATCTGTTTAAATCATGAAGGTTCTCCTTATATAGGTTTTGATAACATAAGTTGGTTACTTATATTATTTTTAAGGTTCAAATATTGTCTTTACTTTTGTGATATTCTGCAGAACAGATGGAACAATGTTCTTTCGTTTGTGACGTAATCGCCGATGCTGTTGCCTTGGAGACTGAGCGCTGTTCTAGAATGTTGGAAGGAATTGCAGCTCGAATCGCCTTTCGTCCGTGTTGTAACACCGTGCATGCTGTATTTTACTCGTACATCGATTTCGTTGCAAACAAAATAAGATGAATGTATGAGAGTTGGTAACATTATTTACATCTAGTATTAAGAAGAGTATTTAGGGCAACTATCGAAACAGTTCGACTGAATAGTTCTCATCACTGAAGTAGAAATGGCCGGAACTACTGACGGTTCAAGGTCAACCGATTTATTTATGTCGGCGTGTAGGTTTAATTGTTTTATTACTATTGATTTTAAGCCTACAGCTACTCTGGCATTATAAACATGGATATATCACCGGCAGAAGTGACTGGCTATGGGCTGTATGTCCAGGGTTCGGTACCGGACACGAATACGTTTTTGTCTGAGTCTTGCCTCGAGTTGCGTCATTCTATCGACACCTCGCGTAGTATTTCCGACACCTCATGTGAACAAACCGCTATTCAGTGATTCAAGTTTAAGGAATGGAAATGATGAATTGCATCATGTGCCTTTCACTCTCTCGAGTTTACGAAGGATCGATGTGTAACCGATTAGTTATCAGTTTTATGTTTGTACAACTGAAACTTTCGATACATTTGTGATCATTTTCAGAAACATTTACGATTCTACGAGATAAATGTAAGAGTATTACATGTGGTACGTATGGGCGATAATAAATGCTTACAATACTTTTATCAGAATATATTAATTTTAGAGAAGTGGGAGACCTGAGATTGAATGGAAGGTGAACATAAAAATGATCGTGTAAGCAATATTATGTTGACTGGATTCATCTGTCTTAGGATACGGTGTATTGGCGAGTTATTGTTAGCACAGTAATAAACCTTAACATTCAGGATCTTTGATGTGGCTTCTTGTGAGTGTTCTCTAGCTTTCAGTTGATCAGGCATTTCGACTGCGAATGACTCCGTCAGTGACTCGAACTCTTGCTCCTTCGGAACTTTGGGAGATAAAGATGGCATAGTAACAGATGTGTGATTTTCATTGCTGTTCTCATTATACATTCTCTCTCCTATTTTCGTTCAGCGTATCGCACCTGATTTTCTCGCCCTGCCAAAATGGTGCAGATATCTGACAAGAGTCTGCCTTTGGTCCCTGTCCGGAGTCATTTGAATCCAATGCACAACCTCTTGCCCATTTTCTTCAGATTCAGTCTTCGCCCATATCTGAAATATGCTCTTTTTCCTTTAAGTTTTACAACTACAATTGTGCGTGAATTTAATCGTTTTCCCCGTGCGCGTTACATATCCCACCCATCTTGTTATCCTTGATTTGATAACCTTACCGCGACGTGTTCGATGAAGACTATGCTCACAAATTGTGAACCTCCTCATCATGTAATATTCTCCATTGTCTTCTTTCTTCAAATAGTGACGCTACTTCAGAAAATAGAAATGAGGGCGAGGAGGGATTCTGAGATAAACCATAAATGACTTGCCCTGCAGGCCACTTCATGTCTCTTGAATTCGGAGGGTTTGCACGTAATTTGATGTAACGCAACGGGCCTTGCGCAGTAGAAAGTGAAATATCTCAAGTTCAGCGTGCCCTACATCCTGGCTTCTGAAATTCCTGACAAGGACAAGACATTGACGGCGTGTTCTAATGATGCCACTTTCACGGGCCGCTGTTGCTCTGCGGCTAGCACCACGTAACCCTTTGTGCCTTTCGCTTAGCCAATTCACAGAAAGGCAGTTCTGTGAAGAACCGATATTGTCACCGTAATGCCCATAAAAGATTTCAATCTGTAAATTAACAGTGCCACATTTTCACCATGTTTTGTGGCTGCTGATGTCCCTCTGGATTCTGTTTTGTACGTGTGCGGCAATCCGTACCGGAGCTGTGTTAGAATTAAAACATACTGAATCCTTCTTGTGTTAGGTCTAACTTGATTCGTTCCACTGTCGCGTCGTGTCTTTCATATCAAAATATACTTTGAAAACGATTCTACGAAATCATGATGAGTACGTGTTGAAGGAAGATTTGGATTGAGCGACGTTGACGCTCTCCACGATCCCTTGGATGCAGTTCAGGGTATCCGTCACACAGACAGAAATGTGTGTTCAGTTTTATTTCCTTCTTTCTTCCTTTGATAATTTGCTCTGTTTTCTTTCCTTTCATTTAATTTTTTCGCTTTCGCCTTCCTTTTGTTTCTATGTTTCTTCTTCTTATTCTTCTTCGTTCCTTTAATTTTTCTCCTCCTGTATCGGTATGCGTAAGATAATAACCGATCCGCAATAAATGAAGCAAGAAGTACGTGGACATACTACAAGTTTGTATCTAGATTGGCAGGCGGTTGGTCTGTCTGTCGACCGGTAATTACGCTGCCCCACATGTGGGTTACACTTGCAGGCCCCGAGGCCGAGATTGCTCCACGGGCCTCTCAGCGAGCAAGAATTATTTCACAATTGTCAGCATAGAGAGATGATAATCATTTACTTTTCTTTTGGTGAAATTGTCTTTTCTCCTCCATCGGACTTGCCCCTTCGTAGACCCCCTCATTTGTCTAGGTTAACAATGCTGGGTGATCTGTAAGCCACGACGTTTTTCGCTATATCATATCCGAAGTTTCCAATTTTTCAGTTATAAACGGTGTGATGAGCTTTTCCGCGTTACTGCGTTGGGATCCCGCCTGACCTCTTTCTTAAAGCCAGTGATGGCCATCGTCGTAATGTCGAAATGCTTGGCTGTTTCCTGTTTGCACTCTTGTGTCTGTTCGGCTTCTAAGAACTCCGGAAATTAAAATGTTTAAACTAATAATTTTTACCCGATGTTTATAATTGAAGTAAAATTTGATTAAAGTTTGTATGAACAAGTCAAGAAAACTGAGGTTTGCATGGTTACTTGCAAAATTTTGGACTAGAAATCCGCGGAAGAACAGACTGCTTATGATGCTAAAGCTTAGACAGAACAGTAACATAAGGTTTATGTTTTAGAGAAATGTGTTATGCTTGTGTATGACATTTGAGGTTTAGACGGCTGTGAAACTGTCGATGTTGGTCGTATTAGTCGTTACACCGTGTGGATTTGTAGGTCGTTGCCAACATTTCGGAGATACATACTGCCTCTGTCTTCAGCCGTGAAGATCACGACGATAATGAAGCTGTGGGTTCCATGACAAATGTACACACACTCAAGGAAATACAACGAGAACTAATTTATGACTTCTTGTATCTGGAGTGAGTTGTGCTTCGTAATATTACGACTTCTGTTTGCTGTCATGTGTGAAAGTGTACTTCGTCGGATTTGGCCATTACATTCTTGTTAACACATGTTTTTTTTTTCCGTTTAACGTGTTAATAGTCGTGAATACCCGGTGTAGTTTATTAGACTTAACAGGATTGCGTATTACTGTTGTACTGTTGTTCTGAGAGGTATGAAGGGACACAGAATGAAAGTGCAATGAATGCGCCACGGCACGGAGGCATGTTGCTATTAAAACGGAAAATTTGCTGGCCAACTAATCCGTACTGAATTATGACCATGTTTCCTGTTGAGAAGCGCCTGGCAACAACGTGTGAACCTGGCATTGATCCCATGGACCACGTGAAGGTGTGAACTTCATGTTGGCTGTACTTATTGGGATAAGTAGAGACTGAGTCGTAGAATCCCGAAATCTCTGTAAGGAAGTTTTAGAGATGGGCACGGAATATGGACCCGTACACGCGTGAAAAACATAAGAAGTAAGCCTACTTACGGAATTTTAGCCGGAAAGCAAAGAAGAGTTCGTGATATTTGAGGTTCTCCAAGGTGAAGATGTTCATTGTTGTCTTCTGGGGTGTGATGCAGTGTGTACTTGTTGGTGGATAATAACGTTTTGGAGGAACGCAGCTGAGGGCTTCAGCTGAAATCTTCGTCTGTAATGTCGATGCCCGTCTGGAAGTCCACACTACGTCACAACCCAAAGACCATGAGGGCAAATTTGAAAATAAAAACCGCTTGGGATACGTGGTTGTGTTCGGACGGACAACATAAATCATAAGAAAATGTTCTGAAGCAGATAAATGGATCGAACTGGCTCAGGATAGAAGTCAAATGGTTTTAATAAAGGCGCCCAGCGGATCCTCTGTAGCAACAAATTATCGGAGCGTGGAATTAACAATTACTGTCTAATTTTATATTGCTTTAAACTTCAGTCATGTATACTTTAGGAGCGTGGTGGTGTTCAGGCACACATTTTGTATCCAAAGAGGGAAATAATTGGGGATTCCCTGGAATATATTTAGTCGGAGTTCCCACGCTGATCCACTCCGGTATTCGTATTCAGTGCGCTCGCACGTGATTTGATTTGGCACGCATCCGACGAGAAAGTGACCCACATCACGTCTTGACTTCCGGCCTTCCGGCCCCCATTTTTGCCCCCAAATCTCCTGTATTTACGCCTCTGGTGCCCGCACAATAAACCCCCGCCCCCGCACGTGTCCACGTATGTGTGCGTGGATTGAGTGTGCATCTGGGGGTGGCGCGTTGGGGCGGAAACGACGCCGTGTTCCTGAGATCTTGTAGCCTCTTCCTGGTTGGCACGGTGACACGCGTTTCGCTTTATAAAAGGGAAGCACATAGCTTCTTCGGCACAGAGCGACCAGCTACAGCAAGTCCGGCAGCAACTGTGACATGGCGATCAAGGTAACTCACTGCATCTGCTGGGGCATATAGCACCCATGAAGAGACGAGAAATTATAGTAGGAAAACCTGGAGAGAAGAGGCCATTTCGGACATCTAGGCTTAGAGTGGAAGTTGATATCAAAATTGTTCGTTTGTACTGAATCCAGCTGGCTCAGGATACGGTACAGTTTTGGGGTCCTGAGGTCACATTGGTTAACTTCCTGGTTCCATGAAGTGTGGGGATATCTTCACTAGTTGATCGAGTTTCAACTTACCAAAGAGTACTCATGTCATGAAGGATAGGTTTTTGTGGAAACATGTCGGTAACAGTTTTATAATGAACTGCTGTAACGGTAAAAGTCGTCTTTATTTCATTGTGAGAAAGATTGACAGGGTGTACTCTTTGGATTACTCTGAAGTTCCACGGGCGATGTTGTGTGGTGGGTAGCCAAGGGAATGCTACGATCGTGTCATTCAAGAGGTGTTTTAATTCGTCGTTGCAATGCCATCCAAAGTGACTGTATCAGTTTATTCCAGCATGAACCTAAAGCCACTGTTACACTAATTTTATCGGAAGTCTTTGTTGGTTAACGGCGTGTTCCAGAAAAACAGGTGCTGCAGAGTTAATGTATCTGATGATTACGTGCAGTAGTGCCGTTTGCTTGAGGCCATGGTCCTTGATCGATTGATATTGCCTCCTCTGGTTTATACTGTATTTTCTCGTGCACCTTCTTCCGACTATAATTAATTTGCTTGTTGTGTAATTCTGGACCAAATGCTGGTGATGAAATTGTAAACTCGGCATCAGCGTGTGTATTTCGGCTGTTCGGTTGGTCCGTCTCTCTGCACTGCAGGCGCGCTCGTCCACACCTCTCCTCTGAGAATATTTTAATGCGACATAAGCGTTTGTTTCCATGTGCCTTCTTTCCATGACCGTTCTCCATCAAGATGTCGTAGCGTTTTCCATGTTCGCCCTAGTGTGTACCAGACCCAACCATTTGCATTGCATTTTTATTTCCTCGTGAGTTCTTTAAATGTTGTTCACCTTTTAGAATCAAATACCATATTTAACACTACGTAACATCGAAACAAATTATCGTCAGAAGTTTTCATTGCGAAACATCACTTTGGAGACCTGTTAGACAGGTGGAATAATAATATTAAAGTGGGTCTGACATAAATTTCTTGCGCAGGTTTAAATTGAAGTTGTGTAGCGATTGATCGTTGGCATGTCCATTAATATTCGGGTTCCGTAAGGAATTAGATCACCTCCGATGCATTACTCGTTATTGATGATCTTTCTACGTCATTCACGCGTATCACCTGTGCAGTTGAAAGTAACTCCATGGAACATGATCTTCGTCGAAAACGTCTAAAAGTTGTACTTATCAAGAGATGACAGAACTCATATATTCATCGCCGTATTCACAAAAAGTATTTGATGAGACCACGTCCTGAGCCAGTTGAATCTACTCATACCTTCGTATACTATAAATTTTACAAATACTGTTGGTGTGTTTCATTCAGGTTTTGAAATCAGACTTTGTATAGTTCCTACATGACCTGTCAGTGTCCTCTTTGATGTCGTCATTCCAGCAGTTGATGCTGCGTCCGAGGATGTATCGGTATGATGTGTTCTAAATTGTCGTCACACCCACAGCTCGTTATTCTCCTGTGCCTTCTGGTGACCGCGGCCCAGTGTGGCGTCGTCCCAGCTGCTGTTGCCACCGACTATGACCCTCATCCTCAGTACACCTTTGCGTACGACATTCGAGACGGACTGACGGGCGATACCAAGAGCCAACACGAGAGTCGCAGCGGAGACGTCGTCCAGGGCAGCTACAGCCTGGTGGAGCCTGATGGCCATGTGCGCACTGTGCTGTATGCTGCCGACCCCGTCAACGGGTTCAACGCCGTCGTGCAGCGCAGCCCCCTCGTGCATGCCAAGGCCGTTAAGGCTTTCTGATCTTCCACTATTTATGTTGCTTACTGTATTTAATTAATGCTTATTTATCTGCTCGCTCGTCATTATTCATGTTAAACAATGTAAGACATGACTTTTGTCTCCTGGTTTTAATGGTTTCTGTGGCCAGTTTGACACATTGAATCCTGGTAACGTAAAATAACGTTTTGTTTAATTATATCAATATTGGCGAAAAATGGGAATGCCAGATCAACCAGTTGTCTTACCGTCTTACAAAATGAACGTTATTTACTATTGTTCCTCAAGTCTCAGTGGCCAAATTGCACTGAGTACACACGCTTTTGGGTATGTGACGGCATATTTTGTTTTTTGTATCATCCACCATTGACTGCATTCTGTCCTCCTGAATTACATCTGCTCGAAATAATTTTCGGGAGAGATTTTGAGACAGTTGTATATACAAATTTATTGTAAAATTGGTGAAGTTTTAAGACTGCAAAATATTATTTATTTGATCATTACATAAATTATTTGAAACATCAACTGCTACTAGTTGCATATTTAAGTTGATGTGATCTTTTAGTCAAACAAGAGGTCCTGTCACACACAGACTCTGCCTTCGTCTCCAGTTTGAGTTATTATTTCTGGGATGGCTTTGTTACTTTATCGGACCTTCGAAAGCACGTTGAAAAGGTTTAAGTTTCGACCGAATAGGAAACATAAGACTGTGGCTCGTGTCTGTGGTTGTGTGGTTTGCTTTACGTGATCTGTGTTCTAAATAAAACACGCAATAACGATCAGTTATTCTGTTATTATAGTCACCTAACTTGCTTCCTCTTTTGATACGGGCCAAGTTTTTCAACAGCGTAATGTGTTTCCTGTTGCGACAGTGTTCCAACAATGCCCCCGGGTCATGAGGGTTGCTTTTTTAACGCCAAAGGTGTTCTTCGCTCGCGCCGGAGCGTGAAGAGCATCTGTTAAGAACAGTTGACGAAGTGAACGTTGCTCTGTCGCGGAAATACATTTTAACAACTCCGAAAGTGGGAATGATGGCCTGTGGATGCAACACCCCTGTTCGCAAATACATTTGGAATGAGGAAGAACTGGAGTTCGAAAGATGTGATGTGATGGCAGAAAACGTAAAATTTTCTTGTGGATTTTTACAGACGTAATTTGGCTTTCGGCGGAATCCGGACATTGTGGGTTCGGTTCTAGTTTGATGACTTACGAATTTTGAGAGTCGCTCTGTGGATGCGGTGCATGTTTCAACGAGGCTTGATGCTTATGTAATATCCCGACACAATTCCAAACTTTCATTTTGAAGGCCAGATTTTGTTGTTCAAGTTACATTCCCAATCAAGTTTGTCAACTTTGCTTTTTTTAAAAATGGCCATTGGCAAGTTCATTTCCCTCGTTAACATCACCTAAGGATTTCTGTCACCGACTTGGAAACCTGTCTTCAGATTTGAAAGAGAAATGTCTTGTTAGGTAACGATGTTACCATCTGCCAGCAGAAATGTTTCTTCTGCTGTCATTGGTATGCCCATAGACATATGAACGAGACTCGAATTAAGTGTTGCATGGAGGACGATTCGTCGCAGGAAATTTCATGTCTCATTTCTCAATTATACGAAAGGTGTACTGAGCTCGTTTTATATAGGATGTTCCAGAGATCTCATTCTGTAGTGAATATACACGTTATACCTACTTTACGATGCAGTATAAATTTCGCGGGTTTCAAGCAGGATTCTTTTTTTTCTTTTCTGGATGGATTCTCCAAACCACCGAGGGTATTGGAAATAGGGTACATATTGTGGATGATCGTTAGAACTAGTTTGCTAATCCAGGATCTTTATCAGCTGCAGAACCTATTATCTAAAGGGCTTAGAGGATGAATATTTGTGGAGAGACAGGAATGGTACTTGTTGGAACGACTGAGGAAAACGACGCAAATATTACTATCGATGAATCAGTCTTGACTCATACTGGGTACCTCTAAAATAAATGTCAGACCCATTAGCATTTTATCAAGAAGAAAGAAGGGCATAAAAAACAAATAAAAGAAGGAGAAGCAGAAACATTAATTTGCATATGGATGTTTGTAAACGACGTACGCTCGGAACCAGGTCTCGCCACGTTGCGCAATTCCTGGCCGGTTTCCAATACTTTTGGTGCGCCAATAAATCTGAGACGCGTGACGCGTCGGCCCTGTCGACCCGTCATTACGACCAGCGTTCAGGAAGGTCCAGTAGAAAGAATGTATTTCGTAAAGCCT